TTTGACCATAAACATGAATAGTAGAAGAATTAGCAGCGAAAAGTGTTTGTTGGGACGAATTCCGTTTTTGAGAATTATTTGCTGGAAGTAAGGACACGTCAGAGCCGGTATCGACCAAATGAAAGGTTTTTCTACGGTCACGAACGAACAGGCGACCGTGAAACTTGAGGCAAAGAATAAGTCGCCTCTTTCTTTGCTGGTTTCGTTTTCCCTGCCATGAACAAGGTTTTGTACATTTGTCATCTCTACACTTTTCCCAAAACGTCTATGATAACCAGCAACGAATCATCTCTCCTTTGGAATTGCTTCTTTCCTTATTGCGATCTCCGCGATTTGGAGCGACCACGAGAAAGAGAAATGCGATCAATACGTTTGTTTAATTTTTCTATTTGTTTTTAAATAATTTATCCTCAGAGAGACTGATCGACTGTGCGAGAAACGGCACAAGTCCCTGGGGTTGGATTTACTTCTAAAATTCTGTCGGCAATTTCTGCACCTTTATCTGCAGTTAAATTGGAAACCGCTGCAAAAATAGACTGAACATTCGAAGGCAAACGTTGAAGGAATAATTCTAACATTAAGTTATCTGGAACATTTAAAGATTCTGCTTGACGTTTCATATTGCTAAGCAAATCGATAGGTTTTCAAGAACATAATTCCTCTCCAGATAATAATTGGCAAATTTCTTGCTGATTCTCCTGAAGGTTTCTCATTTTAAGCTTGCAACTCATAGGGTCTAGTTTCACACTAAATCCCGAGATGCTATATCTGGAGGAAGATGAGCAACTACATAATTATATTTAGTAATGGATTGTGTGCTAGGTTTGGGGGTGGCAAGAGCAAAGGTATTTTCACACATAATAAAACATAAGATGGGTCTGATCGGTTATAAACCGAATTTGGACGGCATGAACATCAGACATTGTGCAAGGTTTTTAAAGCCAAAATAAAAGCAAAAATTTAAAGAAAGAAAACTAATTAATGATAAGTAGAAAACAGAATTTAAAATGATCTATAATTACTACTCATCTGTGATCCGGAGGACGAAAACCGATGTAATCCATTACTCTGGTTTGGAGATCTTGAGTGATGGCTTGTAGTCCAAACCGAAAGTGCTTGAGAACTGTTCATACGATTTAACACAGTCCGGGTTACCATTATAGTGATTTCCGGTTATGTTTTTACCACCAATCCTCGAATTCCATATCACAGATTATGTTTCTTACTGCATTAATATAAATATTACAAGACTAGTGCACAATAAAAAATTAAGCTTTATTTCGGAACTTCGCGCACACTGCCCGACAGCCTGCCTGTTTCGCTCTGCTCGCTACTCGTAAGAAACTTCTCCTCTAGGGTTGCCACACTTATCGGAGGGCGCAAGGCGCGTTCCTTATCGCCATCACCACAATATCCAGCAGATCGAATTACTCTTCTAATAGTCTCAGTTTTAACAATTACTCCATATAATGCTTGTAAATCAGCAGCAACTTTAGAAGCATCATTTGGATTTTTTTTTTTTAATATTTCGAACGATAATTCGCTTTATTCCATTGGATAGCTTTGATGGTTGCCCAGTCTTCTTTTCATCCTGAATCATATATTCTTTTATAATCGTTTAATGATATTGTAAACTGTCGAATGACTCAATAACTGTTTCAGGAGTTTCTCTAATAGATTTTTCCACGTTCAATATGCAAATTAATAACTAATTTTCGAATTTCAGGCAAAGTTTCTTTTCGTTTAGCATTCATGGCTGCACAGAGCTAAAAAACACAAAAATTCCAAAACAAAACTCGAGAGAATACAGCAGACGATTTTAGAAATTATTACCAATTGCTTTGAGTAAAAATAAAACCCCAAAATATTTTATTATATACGTAGTGTATATAATGGTTCCCATCACTTATGTGAGCCATTTTGCTCCGTTTTAAACATTGTATTTTTTATTAAATTAATATTTTAATATTTTCAGAAAATGTATGTTATGTAATAATTGTTACTAAATTTAAGTATGAAACACACCCACAAAAATTTTTTACATGTTTTTTTAATTTATTTTTTACAGTTTCCTTTGTAAAGCACAAGTTCCCATCACTTTTGTGAGACACTGTAACAAAATAGGTGTTAATAAAGCTCCATATGTTTCTGAGGTCATATTTAATGATTCAAGACATCGAATATGTTTTTTGTATGTAATTGAATAACTCAACTGGAAATTTTGAATGTCATTAGAATCCTTTAGAGGTCTTATTTTTCAGTAATTTATCTATATGGGCGTTTATCAGTACATCTTTATTTCCAATCTTTCTGTAAGGAGTTTAACTGAAGTTTCGTAATTTTCTTCGGTTAAATCGAAACCGTCAATGGCGTTATAAGCAGTACCTCCCAAAAAGGATTTCAAATAATTAAATTTGCTTATAGCGTCAAGCGTTTTATTTTGGTGTATGGCTGATGAAAAAGTGTTCCAAAATGTCAGCCATTCGCAGCTCTCGCCATAAAACTTCGGAATCGTAAGTTTAGGAAGCTTCACATTATAACTTTCGATTTTAACGTTTTCTATAATATTTTCACTTAACTGTTCAGTGCTTCTTAACACACTAAATTTTTGTTGTTCTATATTAATTTCGGTTTAATCCTAGTATCCGGTGCATACAGGATTTGGCTTCTTTTGGCGACTTTATGATGAGCAGTAAAAACGAAACATATACGATAGTAGTAAACGGGTCATTTCAAAGAATATATATAGTGTATAGTATATACATAGACGTTCTTTGGGTCATTTTTGGTGTTGGCGATAATTTTCAAAATCGCGCCAAGGCTGCACCGTATACTAGGATTTTACCTTAATTTTTTTCAATTTTTTGTAAGCTTTGTATTTAAAGGTAGTTATTCTTTCACGATATTCGTCAACACCTTTAATTCCTGGTCTAGATCCTTTATGTCTATTAATTTTTCTATATCGGCATCTATTTGTTTTAACTCGTTCGGTTTTTCATTTAAGAGTTCTAAGGAAATTTCTAGTTCCTCTGCATTCACTTCTGATTTTGATAATTCAGTTTTGATTCGGCCAATTAATTTTGTAACGGCAGCTCTTATGTGGCCGCGTTTCCTTTTCAATGTATCGATGAATTCCGTCATTATTTAATATTCAATAATTCAACAAGTATCAACAATTCGCTTTCATTCGCGGCACGGGGTGCCAAAAAATGTTTAATCAATTAATTTCTTAGAAAATAAAAGGTAAAAAGACTTACCTTTTAATCGATCTTCTTTCTAATCCAAAGGCATATCCGGGAACATTTTAATTTCATTTATCGATGCACTACTCACAGAAAGAGAGAGACTTCTAAGATAATAAGATATTTAATTTACAATCACATCTCTAAACTAAAATATATATATAACACATAAGAGAAGGGTTACATGTTTCACTCAAACGTCCATCACGAGTTCTCAAAGTTCAGTTAAAAAAGTTCTGTTTTATTTCTTGCTGCGCGCATGCGCAAATCACGTTAGTAGTTGAATATACTAAGCAATCTTGCTAAGTATTAATCAATTTGTAAAAATCACAATTAATTAAATGACAGATTATTTTCTTAAACTTGAAGTTTTTTTGCGGGGGAGGGGAGATTTCCGTCCAAAAAACAGTTTAGGATTTCCTAGAGATTTAAGCAAAGGAAAAGACTGGAGAGAACTGCAATTTTAAGAACTGCACAGCTGTATTTATAAAAAAATTAAGGAATTTCTTATAAATGTTTCTTGCTGATTGAGTAATTATTATTGCAAAGTAACTCATAACTCAGTTTTAAATAATTTTTAAAGTGAAACAGAGTGCAACGTTTTGATTCTAATTCATACTGATGTTTTATTTATTTTACTTTAAAATACCAGAATCACCTCAAGCTTAAAATGGCAGATTTTTATTAAATATTACCTTAGTCTTCGTTTCTTTTACAGTTCTATCTCATTTAAATTCTACTGAAGAGTGAAAACTCAATCAAAGACACTCATGTAGTCAAATGATATTCACGTGAGAAGTTTGGTTTAAAATGCGTAGGAGAGGATGTCTTCGTGAAGAACATTTTAATGGAACTTGACTCATGTAAATATACATTTGGAAAGCCAGCCTATCGGACATCCAGTTAGGTCAAAACAGCCAATGTATAGTAATTTTACCCTTTTTGGATCATTATATTTATCTGCTCAATGAACTGAAGCAAAACACGCAAGGGCTATCTTCTAAGGAAAAGACACCTTTATGGAGAGTTTTCTAAGAGAAATCACACAGTATTCACGTTGCACATAGAGGAAATCATGAAAATTCCCAAACAGGCTATTATATGAAGATAAGAAGAATAGAAATTAGTTTTAGAATAGATGATAATTAAATAATTTACTAGCAGCTTATTTTTCATAACATTTCACTACTTCACTACCGTTAGTTAGAAGATATCCAGTCTAAGAAATAGTTTTGTAAATTAGCAAGACCTACAGAGGTCAAATAAAGTGTTCTAGAGTCTTATTTTCTCAAAAGACTGGTAAATTTCAAAATGATAAAGCCATAAGTTAGTTCGAAATCGAAGTCTACCATAATTAACATTTAAAAATATTATATACTACTATGACGAAATGTCATTTATTTGTTCTTGTAAACACTCCGTTTCTCTTTTACTTCTTTTCTCAAATAAAGTTCTATCGGACCACAGTAACAATTCATATTCCGTACTCAAAATGTTTTTTTAGATTAGGCTAGTTTATATATTAAGGCATAGCACTCGACGGCTATCTTTATAAGGGATATCATTAAGTAGGAGTTTCTAAGGGAAACTGGTTTTTATTAACGTAGAACACAAGGTAAAACTCCCGTATCTCACTCAGTCACTGGGATCCAAACCCAGAAAGATCTACCAATATTAAAGCATAAAATACGCTACACAACTACGAATTTTTAAATGAAAATAAACATCCGTAAAAAGACCTAAAATAAACACCTCAAATTATAAAAAAAGTCTTTATTTCACATTCTGTGGTGTACACTTTATATCAGCCACGAGATGATCAATATGTGGAGCATACGACTTTATTCTGGTGATATTTAGTACTTTAACATTCCAGTCTGTTTCATATATATCAAGAAAAATATTTTGGAATGTTGAACAAACACTTTCAGACCACTTTACCCATTCTGGTTTTAAGAAGTTTCCTTCTTTGGGACTTTTGATGGGTTGTAGCGTATTACCCAGATTAGAAGTGACGTTACCGTGAACATGCAGAATTCCTCCACTAGGTTTTAAAGCTCTGGCAGCAGTTGGCCATCCTCTTTCTGAAGAAGGTATAAGTCCTAGATTTATTCTATCAGCCACTTTTTCAGGGCAAACCTATAAAGAATTTATGAATTCTTTTCAAGAAATACATGTACAAAAATAAATAAATAAATAAATTACAAGTGAAGGAATTAAGTGAATTTAAAAAAATTCCTGCACAAGCAGTAATCGTAATATTCAAATGACTTATTGCTGTTGAGAATTCATTTTTAACTACTCATACACTTGCGAAACTATAAATAATATTAAAAATTCAATTTGTTAAGAAAAGCAATTACATTCTTCAGTTAAGATTTCATTTTGCGTAAAAGATCAAAAGTAAATTACATTTTGAGTACATACTTCATTTGGTAATGCCATACATAAATAACACTAATTTTAGCTCATTTGACTTCTACCCCATTATGCTTTTTAAATTAATATTATCTGTTAGTTGAATAAAATCATAACAACATGAATACAAATGAATATGTGAAATTTCTGTGCAAAAGATTTTACCATTAGTCAACAGAATATAGAGCAAGAAGATTATGGGTATAGATATATATATAACATAAAGATGAGCGTCATTTTGTTTTATTTTACTGATTTATTTTTATTCATTTGCTGAAAATTTCAGACAGTTGTATGAAGACAGTAATACTTGAACTTCGTTACAGTAAAAAACAGAATCCGTGTAACTGCGTTACAATGCAATTTTGGCAATTCTTTATCATTTATGAAATTATTCAAGCAGGCATTTTAGGTAGTTTGAATTGGCACTTCTTCATTCTGACCATAAACACTAAGTAGACAGAAAAAAATGTTTACAGCAAGTCGATATGATAAACATCCAGCTTAAAATCAAGAAGGGAAGAACTGTATTAATTTTCTTATTAAAAATCCCCCCTTTTTGTTTATCTTAGTACAGGACATTCTCTTTTATCATTCATTACCAGAAGATGTCATATATAACAAACAATGTCTAAAAAGAAGAACGCATGAACTTGGGTCTTCGATTTCTGCATAATTACAGAGGACCTTACTGAGAATATATCTGCAAATACTAAACTTAGCACAACAATACAATCCATTTCCATTCCTCACATAGATCTCAATTCATAAACTGGAATTTGCTTCTGTTTTACATTATGCCACATTTCCAGAATTTTAATGACTAGACCAGAGTAGTTTTGTTATTTCTAAAAGAAGACTGTTTTGTTCTTCAAAATAGACTGAGCTCCTTTTTAATGAAATTAAAATCAAGAACTAAATTATACTTGTAAAATCGAAACTTCATTTTAAATCAAACCTTTTTTTTCTCATTTCTTATTAAATTATTACTGAAAGCATATGTAACATACCACATCTCTTAAAATTTTACTTACACATACTTTTTGCATATTTTTATTAAAACAGCTATAAATAGTTTTTATAGTCAGTAATACACTTCTTAGCTTGATATTTTTCTAATGCAAGCCACTACTTGGGTTTTCTAAGGAGTTTTGGAACAAAATGATAATTGTATGAATACTATTTTTTAATAATAAACAAAATTATAATAAATCTAAAATTAAAAAACCCATTTTCTTGTTCTCTTTACCAAACTCAAAACGACTCTGAAAGGATGTTGTTTCCAGTCCAATAGAAGAAATTCAGAAAAAACACTGAGAGTACAACACACCAACAAAAAACAAAAAAAAAAAAAAAAAAAAAAAAAAAAAAGTGATTTCCAGCAGGCAGCATTCCAAAAGTGGAAGAAACAATGGTAATAGTGCATTTATACTAGAAAGGAGCACTTAGAGGTACTTTGTACTTTCTAGCAATAAGGTAAGAACACAAATTCAGTCTTTGTACAGTGATTTATTTATTCATGCTCATATAAGTTCACTTTTAAATATTTTACATGCTATTGTAAAATATTGTCATATACTATTGAACTGACTTGCAATTTCTATAGAAGATTCAGGAAAATTAAGTTAAAGGTTGGAAAAAAAATTCATTTATTAGATACAGAAAATCCATATAGTTTGTACTAATCAAAGATAAAATTACTGGCACTTAAAAATTTTATGTATTATAGATGTCACTCCATGGAAAAAATAAAATATCCGATCAGCAATAAAAAACTCTATTTAATACATTCCTTTTGTTCTTGTTGTCAAATTGAGCTGTTGTTCATCACATATAAAATACAATAAGGAAAGACATTAAACAATAAAACACTTTTCATGCATAAAATATGCAGTAAATTTTAAAAACGCAGCATTTAAATGGAAATGTAAATAAGAATTCAGAAACCTCTCTGTTATCTCCAAAATGGATCACACATTTTTTTTGCACTCCATTTATTATAAGGTTCTTTTCTAATGCTTCAACAGCATATGGATTCCATTCACAGGCATGAACTACAGCTGCTTTTGCATGGATTAAAAATGGTAGAGTGAAATAGCCGATACCTGAAATAAACACAATTTTCAAAACATGTTCCAAAAACATGATTTTCATCAGCATCTAATGACCCAAAACTGTTAAAAGAGTCAGAAATATAAGGTAAGAACTGTTAATTTCCATAATAATAAAATAAAAATCATTATAAGTAAGTAATTACAGGTTTTTAGCAATGCAAAAAATTCATTATTAAAGCCCTTTGTTAACAAAATTCAATTGAAAATTCCATTCTTATAATTTCTCTTTTCATATTAACTCTTCCTTGCATATTCATTAAAACACAACATAGCTTCTTTTTTCAGTTAATATCCCACTGCAGTATTTTTTTTCTACTCCTTAATTAATTCTGAGATATGAAAATTATTTGTTGAAAGGTATGACAATTATTTTTGCCAATTAAATATATACAGTCAAAAGTCGTTAATCCGGACTCGTCGGGACTTCGGCGATTCCGGATTATCGATTTTTCCGGATTATAGATCATCAGTTTAAATCTCGTAAGATGGCATGCACAAATTCTAAAATTAAAAATATGAAACGTATTTTAGGAAATAAAGAACAATTATGATCTAAAGGGTATCAAAATTTACAAAAAAAGAAGCTTAATATTTATTTGTTTACTTTATTAAACATTTCTTTCAATGTAAGTTGTTTCGTTTTATGTGATAATACTTTCTCTTTAATTCTATAAACAGACATAATTTCTTGTTAAAAAGCTCCGCTGTTCAAGTCCCGTAATTGCCGTGCCGAGAATACCGACTAACTTGTCAATCGAAATTTTTTCGTTTTCACTAACCTCTCTGTCACCTTCTTCATGTCTTTATCCATTTTTTGCAGCAATTCCACTTTTTGTTTGACGGACATCGAGACATACTTTCGTTTTGTAGATCCTTTGGGAGCTTCAGAATCGGAAATTGACATAATCGAAAGTTCAAGTTTACTTTTATAAAATTGCTCTTACAGTCTGCAAAAAATAATAAGCTGCATCCAATTCGAAGATTAAGGAATAACGCAAGCATCAACATTAACTGAAATAGATAATTGTATAATTTAAGCTTATACAGTCCGTTATACGTTAAACGCGCACGCGAAAACGTATTCTGCACTTGCGCACACGCATATGCGCGCGCACGCGTAAACGCCTATGCGCATGTGTCAACGCAGCGCATGCGCAGAAAGTTTTTAGCTTTGAGGTCCAGATTATAGATCATTCCGGATTATGGGTGTCCGAATTAACGACTTTTGACTGTACCATATCATTAATTCTGTAAAACTAATGTCTTCATTTCACATTACCTGCATGTTATTCACTAAACCTGTAATATTTTAAAGCAATTTAGACTGCTAATTGTTTCATTGAAACCTAATATGTGAGTTAACGTTAAAAAGATACTCTCTTTTATATGTGTTACCAGAAAGTACCAGAAAGTTTCTATAAAATGCCTTAGAATACCTAGCATTTTATAGAATGCCTGGGCTTTTTAGGCAAAGTATGAAATATGAGAAATATTATATACTTTTGTGTATACAGTCAAAAGTCGTTAATCCGGACTCATCGGGACTTCGGCGATTCCATATTATCGATTTTTCCAGATTATAGATCATCAGTTTAAATCTGATAAGATGGCATGCAGAAATTATAAAATTAAAAATATGAAACCGTATTTTATGAAATAAAGAACAATTATGATCTAAATTAGGGTATCAAAATTTACAAAAAAAAAAAAGCTTAATATTTATTTGTTTACTTTATTAAACATTCCTTTCAATGTAAGTTGTTTAAGTTGCTTCGTTTTATGTGATAATACTTTCTCTTTAATTCTATAAACGGACATAATTTCTTGTTCAGTTACAAAGTTCCGCTGTTCAAGTCCTATAATTGCTGTGTCGAGAATACCGACTAATTTGTCAATCGAAATTTTTTCGTTTTCAATAACCTCTGTGTCACTTTTTTCACTATTGGAAGCGAATTATAATGACGAGGAATTTGATTTAAATCATATCAAAGACGGAGTACATCGAGATGAAATACTACATTTAGTAAGGAATTATAAACCAAATAAAATCAAAACATCTGCCCTGAAGATAAGGATAGTGCTCACAGATCAACTTCCAATTCATTGCGCGCCGCGGCGTCCCCCCCCCCCCCGCCGCAGAGCAGCGTGAAATTGATAAACAGATTTCGGAATGGTTAGAGAAACGAAGGATATGCCTTTATCCATTTTTTTGCAGCAATTCCACTTTTTGTTTAATGGACTTCGAAACATACTTTCGCTTTGTAGATCCTTTACATATTAGTAAATATATATCGTAAATTCTATTTGACATAATCGAAAGTTCAAGCTTACTTTTATAAAATTGCTCTAACATTCTGCAAAAAATAATAAGCCGGATCCAATTCGAAGATTAAGGAACAACGCAATCTGCTTGAATTAGATAATTTTACCTTAGCTTATACCGTGCGTTATATATTAAACGCGCATGCGTAAACGTATTATGCGCATGCGCACATGCATATTCGCAGCCGTAAAGGCACTTTCTGCTGTAAAGTAACTTTCTGCGCATGCGTCAACGCGACGTATGCGCAGAAAGTTTGTAGCTTTTGAGGTCCGGATTATGGGTGTCCGAATTAAGGACTTTTGACTGTAATAGCTAAGCATTATATAGAACAACAAATGCTCTTTAGTCAAAGTATGGAAAAAAAGTCATGATAAGGCTATTATTAAAAAAAATGTTCATTTCTTAAAAATACAAATGTTGTATTGAAAAAACAGTGAAAGACTGCCATTAAAAAACTTTTATTCAAAATACATAAAAAAATAGACAACTATATATGAGTTGTTAACATTCCCCATTGCATTCCAATTAAAATTTATTTTTATTTCAAACGATACAGATTTGTCATTCTGTTGTAATGATAAAATCCTTTTATTTTTAAATATATGTTATTTTTTTACAACAGCTCAATGCTGCTACAATAAAAATGAGTTATTTTCTTAGGAAAAAAAATCTAAGGAAGTTTAGGTTTCAAAAATATTGAAAACAATATTTTTCTGTTCCAGTTATAAAATATAATTTAAAATAGAACTTATAACCTAGCAAGCTATACAAAGAGATATAAAGTATTTAAAAAAATGCAAAAGTAGTTTTATGGCCAAATGAATGTTTTGATTAAAAGTGTCTTGGTTTTGGTTTAAAACACAGCAAACCGGAATGTTTATTTATTTATATTTATTTTATTTCATTCAAATTTCCTAGTAGCTCATGTTTTTAAGAAAGCATACCATTAACATGAGCATACCATATTCATTAAAGAGTTATTCAACTTCATGCAAATATGATAAATTAAATTTAATTGCTTAATTAGATTCATAGAAGACAAGAAGGAAAACTTCAAAAACTTAATCTAAGACTAAACCATCAATACTCAACATTGTTGGCCCCCAGCCAATCGTGAACTGAAAAATTTAAGATCAGAGAAGACCACTTGGACAGTTCTTCAAGCCGTTATTGAAAATGCCTTCATTTAAAAAAAGAGAAATCACTTCGGATTTCAAAGATGGAACATTTGATAAATAACACCATAATAAATTGTACAGTCATAAGTCGTTAATTCAGACGCCCATAATCCGGACCTCAAAGCTAAAATCTTTCTGCTCATGCGCCGCGTTGAAGCATGCGCATAAGTGTTTACACGTGCACACAAGACCTTTACGACTGCGCATATGCATCTGCGCAAGCACAGAATACGTTTTCGCGTGCGCGTTTAATGTATAACGGACAGTATAAGCTAAAATTATCTATTTAAGTTAATGTTGATGATTGCGTTGTTCCTTAATCTTCGAATTGTATCTGGCTTATTATTTTTTGCAGACTGTAATAGCAATTTTTATAAAAGTAAGCTTGAACTTTCGATTATGTCAAATAGAATTTCCTATACTGGAGCTCCCAAAGGATCTACAAAACGAAAGTATGATTCGATGTCCATCAAACAAAAAGTGGAATTGCTACAAAAAATGGATAAAGGCATATACTTTGTTTATCTAACCGTTTCGAAATCTGTTTATCAATTTCACGCTGCTCTGCGCGGGGAAAGGGGGGGAACGTCGCGACGCGCAATGAACTGGAAGTTGATCTGTCAGCACTATCGTTATCTTCAGGGCAGATGTTTTTATTTTATTCGGCTTATAATTCCTTATTAAATGTAGTATTTCATCTCGATGTACTCCGTCTTTGATATCATTTAAATCAAATTCCTCGTCATTATAAATATCACGAATACAAATCAAATAGTTTTCTGGTTGCACTTTTCTAATTTCGGCTATGCGTAATGTATGCTTTACGCATGCGCACGTTGAAAGAAATGTTTAATAAAGTAAACAAATAAATATTAAGCTTTTTTTTTTGCAAATTTTGATACCCTTTAGATCATAATTGCTCATTATTTTATAAATTACAGTTTCATATTTTTAATTTTATAATTTCTGCATGTCATCTTACCAGATTTAAACTGATGATCTATAATCCGGAAAAATCGATAATCCAGAATCGCTGAAGTCCCGACGAGTCCGGATTAAAGACTTTTGACTGTACTACTAACTGAATACCAAAGAGCATGCTAACCTTTCATGTTGACATTATGCTTGGCTATGATTACTGACTTCAGCCAGCTTTGCTGTGAAGCATTGATTATATTGACGAGAAGAAATTTAACAGAAATGCTTTTCCCTATACAAACATTTAGATTTTGTAAATGATACTCAAAAACCAAAAGATTACATTCAATCTGGTTTGAATGAAAAATAACAAATTTATTATTTAAATAAGCCTTAAGTACATATGGGAATGTATGTGCATTCAAGATTTAGTTAAGCCTTAATCATATTCAGAAATTGATCTAATTATAATAAGTAACTAAATTATACTTCTTTACAAGCACTTTCACAAGCAAAAAAGCAAGACAAAGTTTAGTGGAATATCTTGTCTTTAGTTTCTAGTCTCATGACACATTGCCAGTAGTGTATAGCAGATGCTAGAGAAGCATTAAGCTATGCTAAAATCTGACACTAGTTGAAATCTGTGGCATAGTTCTAAATGCAAAAAGTACTGCTACAGACAATGGAAAAAAGTCAAAGAGGTTACTGAGAATAAAAAAATATCAGTTGGCAATTTAATGGGAGTTCTGAACTTGGCAATTACAGAACTTAAATAATGGAACTTTGTAACTCAACAAGAAATTACGTGAAGTAAGTTAAACTGACACTGAAAGAAATGTTTAATAAAGAAGGATTTCTGTTAAATTGATTTGAATGTAAATTTTTCATACATTGTGATCAAAGCCAGATTCAGACTTAATAAGGCCCTAAATTATTTGAGACATTTAGCCCTTTATAAATCTGTTATAATATATTTTAATCCTATTTACACTATATTTAAATTTGGGGGGGGGCTAAGCTATAGCTTGTGTAGCTTGTGCGTAAATCCAGTCCTGATTGTGATATATAAAAATTAACTGCTAAATACAAATACATACTGCTAAACTAAAATAATAAAATGCTTCAAAATCTGTACTTTTGAAAGAATGTTAGAAATAAGTTTCAAACATGAATAAATTTCCAAATATTTGTTGAATGCAAAAACAAGAAAATAATGTTTACTGTTTTAAAAAACATTATATACACTGTTAAGTCAATTATACATTACAATTATAACTGCTTAAATTTTGCAAATAAAACAAACATTACAAGTAAATAATATCTGGAAGTACAACTAGAGAAAAAATGTTTTAATAACATTCAAATAGTCATCAAAGAAAAATTTTTTAATTTCAGAAATTTTTTAAAAGCAGTTTTTTTAATCCAATAAAAATTCAGATAAATTTCTGCTACCCAAACCAGTTTTTTTGCATCAATTCCATTTATTTCTATCATGAAATTGCTGTTAAAGCAATTCCTTATTTTTGTTCTTTTCCTTAATATTTTATATTATGAAAAAGTCATATTTACTCACTTCTCAAGAACATAGTTTTGTTAATGCTAAACTTTATCATTTTGATATGAAATTAAACAACAATTTTTAGCAACTTAAAAATTCTACTCAGAGACCCAATAAATTCTAAAAAATGAATGAAAATTGCTAGTTGAAAATACCATTAACAGCGTCAAAAATTATTTCTTGTTAATACAAATCTATAAAATTTTATATTCAAACAAGAATATAACAATAAAAAAAATCTAACACATTTCAAGTTCTAGATCTTAATTTGCAGGGAAAAAAATGTAAATATTTTCACTTCAATAAAAGATGTAAATGAAATAGATTACACTAAGACTGTATTTTGTCCTATGTTGATAAAATGAGATATAATAATTACCAGGGTTGGCTCAATGCATACACAACACAGGCATTCACCTAGGGTGCTTATTTCCAGTGTAGCAACTAAGTTTCTCTCAAAAGCAATAATAAATTAAAAATGCATTTCTTTTTTAATTAATAATATGTTTAATTTATACTAGACCCAAATGTACTGATCTTAGAGCTTGAAAACTGCTGCAGCCAAGGCAAATAATTACTTATTTTTTCTCCTTAAAATTATACTTATCATAATCCATACATTTGATTAGTAAGAGAAAATCCTTTTTTTTTTTTTTTTTTTTTTTTTTTTTTATTTATGACAAAATCTGTTTGCATAATAATTCCAAGGGACAAGTAATTTAACAGAATGCATAGATTAAAATTATCTTAAAATATATTAATTTTCATAAAATGAAGTTCTGAACATTTGGGCTCTATGTTAAAAGATCAAAATTTCAATATTTCTTATACTGTAATTATGAATCCATTTTGCATTTAAATTTCATACTAACCAGCATATAAATCTACTATAGTTTCACCTTCACAAGAAAAGTTTGATATACGAAGTTTCTCGGATATATTTCCAGCACTAAACATGCATTTTGTAACATCATATGTGTACCTGAAAGAAAAGGCAAACTACACTCAGTAAAAAATTATTTTTGAATAAAATACTTATTATGGGTTCACCATTAAAATATACATATACATGTAAGAAAAATAAAGAATATTTGAAAAATTAAATTATCAACATAAATTTCCCTTCTGTATTCTAAAAATAGTAACCTCTATTAACACTACATCCTTTCGAGACTAATCCAAGTTATACAACTCTTACATAATTCTGATGATGCAAATGAAACTAAAACTCAAACAGCCAATAGCAACTTTACAGCAATATCAATCCAATCAAAATGCATTGAAAACCAAAACTAACCTAGTCTAAATTAAGATTTCACCCTGAACATAATGCACTTGCTTCCAAGGCTTTGGCCTAGCTGGACTTACAATTATGCAACTTATCTAAAATGTAAGCTTTTTGGAATAGGCACAATTAATGTGCCAACTTGACTGTGGCCACAACATATTTGCTGAAATAAAAAATGAAGATTTAATCTGCCTTCTCCAATTTCCTATTCATTATGGATCAACACTTCTACACCATCAAAATTCCTGCTAGTCATTACTTCCGAGTTTGATTTTATCACACACACACACACACCATACATATATATATATATATATATATATAGATATACATATATACAAACACTCATGTATATAAAATCACATGCATGGTGTATATATGTATACATACACACACAAACATATATACATATATATATATATATATGACCAACTAGGTCTCAGATTTTTTTCTAATTTACTACTTATTACCTATACATACATACATACCTATCTATACCAATCTATGTTACCTATCTATACATACATACACATCTATACATACATACATATATATACATACATACATATATATACATACATATATACATGATATTTTAATGCAGTCATAGCGGCTGAGGGTGAAGGCATGATGATGCTGCCAACAAAACTGAGCTTGAAGTATCACAATCTTTATTTCCACGTATATCAAATCATTTCATAGTAGACAATATACTTTTTGGTCATAGCTGAATATAATTATTTTTATTTACGTGGGTTTTAAAAGTACAACATAAGCATCTTAGACAGAAAACCATAGCAGGGCAGAGATGTTTAGATGGCAAAAGTAGAAAAAGGAATGACATAATTGTTCACAAAGCAGTATTTATACTAGTACAGGTGCATATGTATAGCTAAGCTGCAATTGGTTAATTTTAGGTTTTAGTTCCCTTCTGAAAGCAGCGTTATGTAATTTGGAAAGATGTGGGAGAACAGATGAACTTAGGGGGAGAACATAAAATTTAGAATAGTCAATTTTGAGGTTGCCAATCATTTCTTAGCACAGCTATCATACTTTTTTATATCTTACATATATATATATATATATATATATACAGTACAAAGTCCGTAATCCGGACGTCCATTATCTGGAATGATCTATAATCCAGACCTCAAAGCCACAAACTTTACGCATGCATGTAGAGAATGCGCATACATTACGCACATATGCTTTATGCATGTGCGTGTTGAAAGAAATGTTTAATGAAGTAAACAAATAAATATTAAACTTTTTTTGTTAAAATTTTATACCCTTTGGATCATAATTGCTTTTTATTTCATAAATTACGGTTTCATATTTTTAAAAGTATAATTTCTGCATGTCATCTTACCAGATTTAAACTGATGATCTATAATCTGGAAAAAACCCTAATCCGGAATCGCCAAAGTCCCGAAGAATCCGGATTATGGACTTTATATTGTATATATACATATATACGCACAAAATCAAATGATTCTAAACCATGTACACAGTATATAACATTAGTCCTAAGGCCATAAGTGGTGACCATTTTATTATGGCAATAGGCAGCCACCATCTACCTCCTATGAGGGAACAGACAATTTACATCCATGCTTTCTCTGGGATTCGAACTGGGGCCCTTCAGCTGGCTTCCCTAACCACTATACCCTCTGGGTGGTCAATAATAACTTATAAAAAAGAGCATTAATAAAGCAAAAAAAAAAAAAAAATAGCATTTGCAACCTCTTATGTAATGTTCTACTTTACATTAAATTATATATAAACATATTAAAATAATATACAATACAAAATCTGAAATTGGGACAATTGATATCCAGAACTTTGGATATCAGCCTAAAAATAATAAATAAAATGATAATAAAATCTCTTCCTTAAAAATCTAGGTATGGTCCACAAAAAGAAACAAGTGTGCCATAAATGTGACTTTTCTCCTGATTATTGAGATTTCTGCAAATCGCCTTCAAACGCTTGCTGGCTAGGATGTTGCACCATAGCTAATAACACTACATTGATTGAAACTATATTGATATTGACCACGATCACACTTTGGTTCAATGAGGTGGCACTTTTATGCCCTTGAGTGGTTGTAAAGCAGGCAAGGCTACTGCTGTCCATTTTGCTGCCCAGTGACTTTCCTAAATTATAAAAATTTTGATATCCCTAACTTTCGTTGCTCATTGCTTCCCTAAATTTAAAACTTTATGCTCCTGATGCAACCACACCAGCTCTGGTGCTTACCCTGTTAAGGTGTTAGCATTTTTCTGATGTAAACTATCAATGAAGTTCTAATTTGCCTTATCTACATGCCGTCTTATTAGATTTACTCTGATAATCTAAAATATGGAAATTTCAAGAATTTCTGAAGTCCCAACAATTTCAAATCTCAAACTTTGTACTGTATACATCTACACAAACATAGCACATTAAAAACAATTAAATAATGTATACTTTATCTTATTGTCTACATGAGTAACCCAGCCATCAGAGCCTTTTAGAAGATCAACCTGTGGACTTCTGAAATCATTATTTTGTACTTTATATTTTCTAGCAATTTTGTTACATTTTAATGCAGCTGAAACTACATCCCAAAGGCTGTTTCCTGGAAAGATAGCAAAATATTTACTTACAGTATCAATAGATATATATGTTATCGTGAAAGACTAAAACTGGGGAATATCGACATTCACCAGAGAATGTTGATATTTCCAAATATATGGATGAAAGATAAAATATTTGGTTACATTCTTATACATTCAGACCATCACCATTTGTTGTTGCAATAAATAAGACTGTATAATATTAGTCACACAATTAAGTTTATTATTAGTATCATTTTCTTTTCTCATTCAGAATGTACTGTTTAATTTACATTCAATGGTTTATGTACATGTGTTGCTACTTAAGTTCTTTCCTATCTTGGCATATATCATACTATGTTCTAATAAAAACATAATAAAAATATTTTTATTCAACATTCATTATCAGTGCATGGTGAATGTCAGCATTTGCAGATGTAAATGAGAAATAAGGTTATTAGGCAAATATTTCAAACATACACCAAAGTGACTCAGTGAATGCTATCCTTTTGGTCTTTCACAGTAACATATATATATAGATAGATCGATATAGATTAACACTGTTTAATTTTTATACAAATAGTTTTGAGTTAACATGCATAAAAGCGAAGGTGTCGGGGGGACATTTACTCAAGTATTTTATAAATTTTACTACATAAATTGCTTTTTACTCAAAATTTGTATTAGCGAAAATGCTTAATTCAGAATGAGTTCTTTGGTACTCTGTTTTGGTTCTAAATCACATCACTTCACGGAACTATTTGGCCTAATTTAATTTGCTAGTTTGGCATAACCATTCTTACTTGAGTAAAAGACGAAACACTTTCGTATTTATTAATTATTGTTCATTGAACAGAAGTTGGTTTGTTCCCCTTGAAAAGCCAACTAATTTCTGATCAATAGTAATAATTACTTGCTTTTTAATTTAATTTCTTTTTCAAAGTTTGAAATTTTGTTATTCATGATTTAATTCAAGTACCTGTAAAACATTTTTAATAATTTACATTCAAGTTACTTTAAAACACAATTTTCAGAATTAAACTTCCTACATATGGGTTCACACTTTTTTGATTCTACTAAATTTATATTAGGAGATAATATAATCAATATTTCTTTAGTAAATAAATTATTATTATCTTACTTTGCAGCTACTGCACAAGTATTAGAAAAACTTGTTTTCGAACTAAGTGAATTTAAGATCATACAACATTTTACATATATATACACACATATATACAGATACCCATACATATCAAAATAGGGTTTTTTTTTTTTTTTTTTTTTTTTTTTTTTTTTTTTTTTTTAACCTGAGGTAACTGTATCATATACAGAAATTAAAGCATTTGATTTCTAGGATATAAAGAATATATTATTAGTACTTTCAATTACTGAATTAATTAATTAAAATGATGACTACTTTTTACTAACCCTTTACAATACTTGAGCCATTAATAGTGTGATACAATATATAAGAAAATCAATAATTAATAACAAAATTGCAGAGCAATGTTCCTATTACAGTGCAAAGTCCATAATCCGGACTCATCAGGACTTCAGTGATTCTGGATTAGGGTTTTTCCGGATTATAGATCATCAATTTAAATCTGGTAAGATGGCATGCAGAAATTATACAATTACAAATATGAAACCGTAATTTATGAAATAAAGAGCAATTATGATCTAAAGGGTATCAAAATTTACAAAAAAAAAAGCTTAATATTTATTTGTGTACTTTATTAAACATTTCTTTCAATGTAAGTTGTTTAAGTTGCTTCGTTTTTTGTGCTAATACTTTCTCTTTAATTCTATAAACAGACATAATTTTTTGTTCAGTTACAAAATTCCATTGTTCAAGTCCTGTAATTCCTGTGTTGAGAATACCAACTAACTTGTCAATCGAAATTTTTTCGTTTTCAATAACCTCTCTGTCACTTTCTTCACTATCGGAATTGCGCATGGGTAAACGCTTTACGCGCATGCATAGCGGACGTGCGCATTAAAAGCGCATGCATAAATGCTTTACATGCATGCATAAGTTTGTGGCTTTGAGGTCCAGATTATAGATCATTCCGGATAATGGACGTCTGTATTATGGACTTTGTACTGTAATGATAAAATGAGGGGCAGATTATGTGTATAATAATCTCGAAGACAGAAGTAATGAACATGAGTCAGGCATTACAGATATGCTACTTATACGTTAGGCTATTTATTAATCTGGGATAGGGCTTCGGCCCAGGAACCCAAGCCTCGTGGCCTGCGGCCACCGAATAACTGACTGTAATATGACAGAATATAGTGAGCCATAATCAAATTGAGAACTAAGTAAAAAAAAGGTTATAATGTATGACTTTTAATATGGAATCTCTCTGATTCACACATATGATAGTAAATAATTTTATAAATATCCTAACATTTATACAAAATCATAACATAAAACCTAGCTGTAGATTTAATCAAGAACACTGTAGGTAATATCACACAAGGGTGCAGTATCTCTTTTGACTTGCTGTCAGCTTCTCAACAAAACTTCTAGACCAGGGGTAGGTGGGAATTCCATAGCTTCAGAAAGAAAATGTGGTTAGCATTTAAATTGCCTGTTAAGTATTTGGTTTTATTTTATGAATATAAAATAACTATTTTTATTCAAGCTTTCATATTTATTAACATTTTCTATATTTTGCTTGTTTAATTTGTAAGCACATTAAAATTAAATAAATGTTTATGTATTTTTTCAATTTTGGAATGGAAGAGGAATGATTTTTTTTACTAATGCTGAAAGGCGTGCATGATTCAAAAAAGCTTGAGAATACCTGTTCTCGATTTTAATGCTTTTATTCTACAAAGACACTGCTCACAAATGCCTATATTTTCCTTAGGCTTAAAATTGTGACCTTTTAGAATGAAAACACTATATACTGATTACCATACTGATTAAACAGCAAGCTATAAATTTACACTGTTCGCTATATTACATATGTATGATAAAATTAACCTTTTATTTGTTAGACCCTTAAGTCTCCTTTTTAATTTAGTTATTTTCCTTTTCTGTCCTAAAAACAGGAAAATGCTTGTAATAAATATTTCTGAAATGTACCACTTCAAAATTAATACCTATCATATGATTTTTATATAATGCATATGATACATACACTTTTCTACGTAATGATAAAAATAAAAGTAAAATTCTTTATCAAAATATACTCAAATGAAAGGCTAATGCAACCACACTAGATATGAGGAATTTGAGGGAAGCAAAAATTTTAGAATATAGGAGTCAAAGAGTTTGCACTGAACAGCAAAAGCCTAGCACTTTCCCTGAGCAAACTGAAATTTTTATAAAACAAAGTAATAAAATGATGCATTCTTCTACTAAGAAATAGATTAACTTCACAATTCTTAATCAAACACCAATAACATAACATTACTCTTCTCATTAAAAAGCAGCCCACCAGCAGCCGAGTAGTAGCAGCCCACCAGCAGCCTAGTAGTAAAGTCACTGAACACTAGTAATTCTGCCTGTGTTTGAATCCCGCCAAAGGGGTGGCTGTATGGATGCTTTTACTAGCTGTCTTCATATGTAACATGGATACAATCCAATTTTCATGCCCCATAAAAGCATCTTTTCCCACAGGCAAATAGCCTGAGTAATGTTATCTTAATCAACCTAACTCTCAATAAAAAAACACGACGGATTCTCATGTATCTGCATCTATCCAACTAACATATGATTTGCCGCCTCACTCCAGTTGCATTGTTGTCAATATGTGAAAAATATGCATGCAGCTACCTATATATGTGCATACATTTTGTCCAGTTTAGTTATATGTGTTTATTTCAAGAAAGCTATGAAAAAATAAAGAACTGTATCAACCAGAAATAACTGCAATTAAATCTTTAATGCGATTTAATCTAAATGCAACCTTTTTTGCTAAGAATTTTTTTTATTATTATTTGTTACATCATTTATCACAAATAACTAAAATTCGAAGCACATATAACTTACATGCATGTTCAACTTCTTGATTATTAAAGCTATAATGGAACTGTATAGTTAAAACTCACTTTTTGCTGACTTTACAGTAACATTTACATTGAACACAGGACCAGATGAAGACTTTTACAGACTCTAAGCCAGGGTTGGTAAAATTTCATGTCAGTAAGAGCCGCACGTTTGAATTCAGGAATGTTCGAAAGCCGCATCTAGATTTTCTAAAAGCTACAAGTTCATATTTACATCATTATAGAAGTAGTGTAGGAGGTTTTAAACAGAAAAAATCCATGATAACTTTGTAAAAAAGTCTAAACTAATTAATTACTTCTTTTTGGACACTGAATAGTTTTAGTTTACCATATTTCATACATATATTTTATATGCACAAGCCGCACAAATTGCCTACGAGAGGCATATCAGGCTTGCGAGCCACACGTTGGCCACCCCTGCTCTAAGCTCTTAAAAGGTTTTTGTAACCCCACATAAATTTATGCCTGCTTTTTTCCCATTCATTATCTCTTGGTCTTGGTTAACCTGCACCATATATTCCACAGTAAAATTGGTAATGGGAAATTTTTGTCATGCCCCCCCCATCCTGAATTCCTAAGGAACTTCTTATGGTGCCTTTTTTCTTTGATGCCCTAAGTATGTGCTTATATTGCTTAATGGTTAATCCAGCTCTGATTGACCATTTAATGAAGCACCTTTTTACTTTGGCTTCTAAATGACATTAGAAAATGAGCTGTGTTATGTATTATTATTATTTTTTTTTTGTGTGTGTGTACATTTATTAAGCATTATTTGACTATGAAAAGGGAATTCTTAGTGATTATATTAATTTACTGTGAATAAGGAATTTGTAATGTTCTTATTTAAGAATTAATGTATAATATTTAGTATTGTTTAAACTTTTTATTCCATTACAGCAAAGCTCTTTTTAAAATTTAGCTGAAGAGTTTGATACAGTTAAAGGCGGGTTCTTACTTCCATTTCTCAAGAGGCAGCTTCTTTTGGGGGGTCAGGGGTCGG